TCATAATCCCTTGGTGCCTGATAGATGCTAGGGTTAGCTATCCTTCGATGTGTGTTAGTCTGACTGATGGGACGCCCTGCTGTTTATGCTGTCGTGCCCCGTATTAGGGTTCAATTCGATGCAGTTTCATGCAATACTATTAGGGTTCAATTCGTTCGGCTCTGTTTCATTGCAATCCTAAATACAAGATGGATACTCTGCCATGCTGTGTTGTGTTGTTTTGCTATGCTTTATCGATTTTGATGTATGATTCGAATTCCGTATCAACTGCACCTCTGCCCCATACTTCTTTCTATGTCAAAACATGCGTCTGCTGTAGGTAGTTTACTGCGCTGGTTAATTTTCAGCCTAGGGATGTGTATTGTTTCAATGAGTCAAGTCCCGCTGCCATCATGAGCAGCTTCTCTGATGGTTGCACAGAGGCATGTTTTGTTTGCTTTGTCATGCGGCAACAATTCGTTGCAGGTTAATGTTTTGCTTCTTATCTTTCTTGTACATGTGATGATTTGTAGGTAGCAGCTGATTGGCAGTGGACAGGGCAAGATGTCTGGCGGCAACGTGAGTTGCTCCTACTCATAATTTTTTTTCTGTAGAGAAGCTAGTGTGGTGCATTTGAGGATTTTGAGCTGATCCTCTGCTTGTTATGATGCGTAGCCCGCAGGTGTGGATAACACTTTCCGTAGGAAATTTGACAAGGAGGAGTACTTGGAGCGAGCTCGACAGAGAGAGCGGGATGAGAAGGTCCTCCACGATGTCCTACTGTTTTATTGCATAATTCAATTGTGACTGTGCTATTTGATACTGCTTGCCTCATCTATTTTTCATGTCTTGTGTGAAATATGTACCCTACTAGAAGATGCCACCATCAAGTTAATAATAACACTAATCATCATTTGATTCTAGTCTAGAGATACAAATAATTGTATGTAGTGGTCTTGTAGTTCCAGATCTAGGTGAGTTTCGTCGTCGTGGATTTGTGGATCATCTGTTTGTTGTTGTTCATGGATCCGTGGTAGGTGCTGTCATGTTGTTCTAGTCCGCCCTTCGTAGTCTGCCCAATTTCCCCTCTCCATTCTGCTCGCCTGTGTTGTGTAGGAGCTTGTAGTTGCAGGTTCTAGGTCTGGTAGATGGTGGAGGTAGGCGTACTGGTAGCTGCAGCGGTTGACTTCCCTATGAATTTTTCTGCTAGCCTGTGGTGTCTATTCCCTTGCTGTTAGATGATAGTTGTAGGTGTCTGGTCTGTTCCCTTGTTGTCTGAATTTCATGCTTCTATTACTATGTGCTTTTACCCCCAGACTTGTAGTGTACCTCAGAATTTCAGTGTATGTTGCAGAACCAAACTGTAGTTTCCCCTGCATTTACAGTATAATACTCCCAATATTAGAGTGTCATGCTTTTCTATTTGTACTGGCTGGAGGTAAGCGTACTGGTTGTTGCAGCGGTCGATTTCCCTGTATTTTTCTGCCAGTTCCTTTTCCGTTAGATGATAATTGGAGGTGATCTCGCTTTTTTTTTTGCGTGATTATGCGATGTAGTTTTGTAGTTGTAGGTGGCTGTTCATGATTTCCCCCTGGTAGCTCAGGTGTGCGTGATTTCCACTGAAATTTCCAGTCGAATTTTAGTTTCCTTTCACTGTATTATAAGTGTATTTTATAGTCTAATATCAGTGTACTTATCTTGTAAATTGCACTGTTATATCAGTGTACTAACTTTTGTAACTACACTGTAATATCAGTGTATTTACAGTCTAATATCAGTGTACTTATTTTGTTACTTGCACTTTAATATCAGTGTACTAACTATGTAATTACAATGTAGTATCAGCGTGCTTACACTGTAACTTACAGTGTAATTTCAGTGAATTTACTTTTGCAATCTTAGTGATTTCGGCATGTGGTGCTTCCTGATTGACTGATTCCTATGATTTTTAGTTAGTTATGCAAGTGGATCTCTCTGTATTGTAGCTCAAAATTACAGTTGTTCTTACCCCCCAGAATTTCAGTGTAACTACTGTGTAATATGTTTACAGAACCTCATTGCCCCTGCTTTTACAGTGTAATACTCCCATATTACAGTGTAATTCTCTCATACTACAATGTTGTCTTGGAGCTTATTGTCCAAAATAATACCTCTACTTTTTGTGTCCTTCAAGAATGCGTATCCTTCAGGACAACTCAAGCCCCTCCTCCTCTCCTGTACATGAATGTGAGGTGCTGCGCATGCAAGATCTGAGCCAAATGGCATATTGTAATCTTTTTATTGCTGGTTTTTATGTATGATGTCATGAAGATGTGCATTTGAAATGTTGCTTTGATAGCAAAATTGTATTCCCGTGTACATGCTGCTTTGACAGCAAAATTAAGAAAATTTCTCAACAATATATATGGGCAAAATTGTATTCCTTTGTACTGCGCCTGAAAAGGCTACAGCCAACTGATGATGTTATTAGAACCTGACAACTGGGACCCATCTGACTAGTGTACCCTTCTTTTGGAAAAAAAAAAGAAAAACTAAATTCGTTTAGACAAAAAGGCCACAACCCAACAATAAAAAAGGCTGCAATGTTGGGCTTGGCCCATGAAGCTGATAAAAAATTGATAGAAAAAATACATTAAAAAGGCCGAATTGTTGGGCTAGGCCCATGTAGAAAATCAAATTGGACCAGGCTGAATCTTGTGCCACGTCAGATTGCCACGCTGGATGCCTACGTGGCCTGAGGATGTTGCTAGTGACCAAAACGCCACAGTAGACGTATTTTGGTCATAAACGTCTTCGACCATTCCAGAAGAAAGGTCGTTATAGTCAGTTTATGACGGCCAGCTTTTGACCTTATGTTTTTGTCACAAAAAGGTCATAAATAGAAATTTGTGACCATTCAGTGACCAATAGTGGTGGTCACAAGTTGACATATTTCTTGTAGTGTATCTCGGTCTTTTTATGATAATGAAAATGGTTCAATCAGCGTAAGCCCACCGTAGCACCGTCGGAAAATAAAAACCACAACAAACCCACGGTCCATCCTTGTAGTCTGAAACATTTGTAGTACACCTCACGTTTCATCAAAATCAACCCACTATAATGAAACAAGGTCAAAACGATGGAACTGGACCGTGTGTTATTTTGTAGAAACCAGAGGATACGTGCGTTGCTGCCGGAAATGGTTGATGAAACTTGGGTTGGTAACATGGCGAGTTCATTAAAGTTACTCGGCGGCCGCTGCATGTGATGAGGGAGGCGGAGACGCGGCGCATAAGCGGAATCGTCGTGCAGCGCCAGAGCTAGAGGGTGGCAGGCCCCACTGGTCACTTTGACTAGGGCTTAAATAAAACAAAATATTTCAAAAATATTAATAAGCCAATGACATGTGGGTCCAATATCTAATTTGAATAGTCCTTTTCTTTTTTTCTCTTTTTATTAAAGTTTGGCGTCACGTGTAAGTATGTGAGAGAGAGGGGGTGAGAAAAATGGTATTTTGTTTTTTTAGAGTGGATCCCACCAGTAAATGACACATGAAGACAGGGGCAAAAATGTCAAATAAACGGCTAGATACTAGTCAAATAGCTTTGACTCAATGAAAACAACATTTCTATAAATGCAACTAATGGCAGATGGGCAAATTTGAGCATGCTTTAAAATATGACTAGTGGATTCGAGTTAGGATCACAAACGTAGATGTCTTCTTTTTAATATTTATAAGTGCTTAGTTTTTAGTTCAAAGTTTGCTGTAACCCTGTTTGCGCCACTGCCAATTGAACTTTTGTGCGGACAGTTGGTCTGAGCAGCTACTGCCAAGCAACCACCATGTCGGGTGTTCTCAACGCCCGTCTTCTTGCTCCTATCGCTGCCTAGGGTTTGTGAGGCATGCAATGTAGGTGTGTGTGTGTGTTTGAGAGAGAGGAGTGTGTGGATAGGCTTTGCGAGGAGGAGGACCGACCGTAAAGCCGTGGACTTCTCAATTGCCACGCCGACATGAATGCGAATAGGCGGGCGGCCTATCAGCCAGAGTAAATCACGATGTGTGTCCTACAATGAAGTGAATAGGGTTTATGGGTCAGTTCGGGCATCGAAGTCTGACGTGGCGGTCGTTCGAACTCCTCATAACGTCACTCGATTTAAGGCCAAGCTACGATATTTCAGACGTCTGGACCGGCCTAACTTGATTTGATGACGCGCATTGAAGGCCTAAAAATGTCTAAACCGGCGGATTTACGCATTTGCGGAAGCTTTGGGTTTCTTTAGGGGTATTTGCGGAAGCTTTGGTGATTTATGTTGCTTTGACTCCAAACCAGTTTTGGTGACAAAAAATGGATTTCGGTTCATTGAACCTGGCCATGTGTACCCCTCCTCGTCCCATTAACCCGTCCAGGTCCATCCCATCCGTCGGTCCCCGCTAATAAAACCCTTGCCACCCGCAAGCAGCCGCGTCGGCATCGCGCCCATGCCCATCCCCGTGCCCGCCCGCTGACGCGACGTACACCGCACCAAGAAACCGTCGGACCCTCCGCCGGCCACGGCGGGAGCGACTGCCACGCGCGCGCGGCCTCACGTGCCGCCCACCGCCCGTGACCCTAATCCCCAAACGAGCCCACGACTATCCTCTCCCCTCCTCTCTCGGTATAAGTGCTCCCCCACCACCGCCACCGTCTTCTCCCCCTCCTCTCCGACCCGAAACCCCTATCCGCCCGTCCGTCCCGGGGAGAAGACCGCCGGCGGAGGAGAGGAGACGCGGGCGAGGCAAGAGGAGAGTCAAATCCCCATCCTGCTCCTCCCTCCCGCGCCGCCGACCCCACCCGCGGCATTCTCTCCGGTGCCCCTCCTCCGGCCAGGTGATTTCCTGAACTGAATCCACCTACCCCTGCTTTCTTTTTGGGGATTTTGATTTGGGGGCCGGCGATGTTGACATGACAGTTCCAGCTCGGGGGAATGGCTTCTTTGATTTGGCGTGATCCCCGGCTCAGTTTGTTGTGTCGTCTTCAGGGGAAAAAACGAACATCAGCAGGATGGTGCTGTGGGTATTCGGGTATGGGTCCCTGATCTGGAACCCCGGATTCGACTTCGACGAGAAGATCCTGGGATTCATCAAGGGCTACAAGCGAACGTTTAATCTCGGTATGCTTGGTTTGGAAGCTAATCTGAACCTGTAGCTGTACTTATTGGTCTGAAGATTTCACATCTCAACTCTTTTCTTTCTCCGCAGCTTGCATTGACCATAGAGGCACACCACAGCATCCGGCCAGGACCTGCACCCTTGAATCCGAAGATGAAGCCATATGCGTAAGTTGACTGCAGCATGAATCAAATACCTACAGCACATGATGCTGCATTACTCTGTGGGCACTATATAATACTGTTCTCTAGGAGTGTTGCCATGGCCAACAATAGGCGACATTTCTGAGACTTGTTGCACCTTTAACATGCTTGTGTGGCTTCATGCTTGTTTCGCAGGGCTTCGTTTATTGCAGAGAAATATATGCCCTTTGCTATAGGGTCATATTACTTACAATACCTATCACACTTCCAGTTATAACGTGGTTTTGTTTGGATTGTTGACAAAATATTTACCTTATAAATTCTTTGGTCAGGACTCAGAACAGAGTGTCTTCTGTTTGCATGGTTGCCAATTCTTGGCCATTTCAATCCGTCTTTGCCCACTCCTAGTTCATTTGTTTTGCTAACCTTGGCCAAATCATGGGAAAGAGGACAACCTTGGGCTCAATCCAAATGCATCCTATCTTCTTTCTCATTTGTTCTTCATTGTCAATGATTTTGCTCCATTTCTGTCCAAGCATGAAAACTTGATATTCCCTGAGTCTTGTTTCGTCTTATCCTCCTTGCAAACTTACCCTAATATTGGCTGGTTCCTCACCAATCCACTTTAATGCTGAATGTTTAAATCTGATTCATGTGCAAGTGTTTGTAGACATGCCCAAAGTAGATTCACTGCATTAGAAGTTCTATTCGCCAAATGAGTAGGCCAAAGTGCATAATGCTGTTACAACTACACCCATGGCGTAAAGATGGTACTTTATTTATTATCCAGTACTCAAGTATATCCGCTGTATTAGCAGTTCTATTCACCAAAATGGGGATATCCTTTTCCAAAAAAAAGGGGATATGTATAATATTGTTACCACTGCACCATCGCCATAAAGATTTACTTTTGTTCATTATCCAATATTGATATGGTTTCTTGAATGCCATGACATTGCTCTATCTTTTGGTTTCCTTATTTCTATGGGCTATGGTATTTACATTTACAGCTCATGTCTTTTACAGTGGGGAATTGCTTATTGTGTCAAAGGTGGTCTAGAAAAAGAACGAGAAGCAATGCAGGTGCAGTGATTTTATTTCTTGTTTATTCGCCTGGAAGAAAGATTGGATTTATCATGCTAGAATTAAATTGATAATGTATGAATTTCCACAGTACTTGGAGAGAAGAGAATGCGAGTATGACCAGAAGATCTCTGTGGATTTCTACAAGGTATAAATGCAAGGCGAATATGTTGACATATTTCTCTTTCTTTTTTCTTCAGTACTCTCATTTTCTCTTGTTGAACTCCACTGTTTAGGATGGAAATTCTCTGGAACCAGCTGTGACGGATGTATTAGTGTAAGGGTCGAACTCTACTATTAATTTTTGTTCACATTCCATGTGACTCGCCAAACTCACTTGGTCAATGCACAGTTTCGTATCCACTCCTGATCCTGTTGGCAACAAGTACTATCTTGGCCCTGCTGCTTTGGAGGATATGGCAAGGTGGGCTGTTGAACCCTTCGATCCTCTTTCATGAATACTCTGCTTCACTAAGAGCATTTCTGAATTCCTTTCCAATTGTCTTGTTTACAAAACAGGCAAATTGCTACAGCCAGCGGCCCTAATGGATATAATAGGGACTACCTATTCTCAATGGAGAAGGCACTGTCCAATATAAGTAAGGAATTGTTTCTCATGTTGTCACCCGTCTATTTGCACTCATGTTATTTGATCAAGCATGTAGGATGCACTTGTTCCTCATCTGTCCATTCTGTTTACATTCCAAGGCACGACAGTTTAGTTGTCAGTAGTAGTTTGTTCTGGTTATCTGTCCTCCTTGCATATTAGCAGAACAAAACTGCACTTGAGTCATATCATCAATCCCTTACAAATTGTGCTATGTGGATTTGTTCAGGCCATGAAGACGAGTCGATTATTGTGCTTGCGGATGAGGTGAGGAAGGTGCTGAGCAGGTCGACGGAGAAGAAGGTTACCGGCTCCGACATGCCATTAAAATCGCATACTCCCGTTGTGCACATCCCTGCTCTTCCTGAGGGCACCGTCGTGGTCTCAACATAGCAAGAAGAGCGGCACGGCTGGATCGGCGAAAGAGATGGCATTTTCCTCTGACCACACTCACCCTTGACATTCTCCCATTGAAAGATCTGCGGTTTACTTCAGCTCTGGCACCATTGAGGGTGTGCGCTAATTTTCTTTGGCAAAGGCTGTAGCTTCCAGAGTGCCAGTGCGAAAGCCTGAGACTTGAAAGTGTTATTGCTTCCCTTGTGATACCCTAATAATAAATGCATTTGGCGACTTCTGCGCCGCTGAGGTGCAATGTTTTTACTTCACATGATTCTGTTTCCTAATTCGTTATGAATGTCATTGTCTCTTTTTGAGCAACCGAATGGCCTCTTGGTGCTCCTTCGATTCATATGACAGGGAAAATGGGGAAAATGGAGGATCGGTATGTCCCGCGCACTTGAATCCCATTGATTTGGAGATCTTAGGAATTGGCACAAGTTAGTGTTTGATGGCAGCATTGGGAAATCATAGGATATCGCAAGGGGTCAGACCTCATGAAAAAAATCATATGAAATAGAATAGGGTAAGTACCATAGGAAAGCTCCTAAGGATTGCATTTTTAGGGCCCTGGTACCAGCACTATGCATGATCTATGATGTGTTTGGTTGCCTGCATTACCTGCAACCATACCGAGTTGGGCAAAAAAAAACAAAACGTATTTGGTTGCAAACAGGGAGGCCTTGCTCACATTGGCACGAAGCCCAGAGTGAGCCCGGTTGAGTGCGGTGAAAAAGGGAGGTAGCGCGCTCGCTACGGTGCAAGGGGGAAATTGAGTGAAGACGGCGGGCGATGGAAATCGGCCAAGGCTGGATGGCGCGAAATGTAGCATCTTCGCCCCATTTACTCGGTCACCATTAGCCTTAGGACGAGCACTTCCTCTGTTCCTAGCGTAAGCAGAGGCGGCGACAGCACTCTCCAGCAGCAGCAAGAGCTGCTTCTCCCCTTCCTCTTGGCCACCATCTGGTCGTCCTCGACTCAGCCATGACCCCTTCGCCTTGTCGTGGTCTCCGAAGCCGGTAAGCAACATGGAACACCTCCCTTCTATGTTAGGTTGGTTGTTAGGCTGTTAGGCAAGGTGTAGAATTGGCTTCCCCATTACTCACCACACCATCGATGTCGCCTAAAACGAACGCAGGAAGCTGATAGTTCAGGCAGCATCACTAATAGTTGTGATTTAGGCATGGTTCACCTTGATCCACAAGAGAGTTGTTCATCTTGATGACAAGCCTGTCATTCGCTATGCTTCAATGTTAACCTGGGATCATGAAAGGATAGCGAATTTGAATTACATCTACAACAGCAATTACAGAGGCCCTGTGGATGCTTCGAATGAAAAGAGCACCTTTCACAAGGCTTGTGCAGACCTTCAGAAGCAATGGCAGCTACAAGATAGCATCCACATCAGTGTGGAAAGCAAGTTGCTATGTTCCTCTATTTTGTCGGTCATAACTGAAGGTTCATGGTTATCCACAATACATTCAGGAGATTAATGGAGACCATTTTCAGATACTTCAGGCCAGTGTCAAGTGTTGTATGCTGTTGGGGAACTTAAAGGATAGACGATCACCAACCGGCCGGACTCCTAACAAGATTCGCATTAGCTCAAGATGGTATCCATATCTCAAGGTGAGCACTGACAGTATATAGTTCATGGCCTGACATGCTTGTATTGTTCTGTTATAGTTATAACATCATCTTGTAATGCCATTTCAGAATTGTATTGAGGCAATAGATGATACTCATGTCATTGTTGAATGCCAAGGTCACAATTTGCAACATACAAGGTGAGAAAGTACTACACAAGTCAGAATGTTTTTGCTGTTGTTGACTTCGATCTAAAGTTCACATCTGAGTGAGATGTTGAACATGAGGATCGTTAGAGAAGAAAGAGATACTCACGAGGGGATAAGGATGGAGGGTGGGGCGGCTTGTGGGCCACATGTGCATGTGGCGATGCGGCGCGAGGGTCAGATCCACGCTGATCGCAGGGTCAGCCGGAAGTGAACGATTTCCCGATTATTATTTTTCGATTCTCTATGCTATTTGTTCACACGCATGTGAAGTAGCTAATCTATATCTATACCTCTATACCTAATAATAAAGGGGCTATTGCTTCTTCCGGTACGTCATCAAAATTGCCTCAAATGTTATAAAATACTGCCAACCAATGCCATCTATAAGTGATAAAAAATTATTTATTTTCCATTTTTGTTTTTTCTACTCTGAATAAATTAGGACTTAAAAAAGTTCCACAAATAAAAAAAATGAGAATTTTGAAATAAAATGATTGTGGATTAAAAAATGTTTGTGATTTTATATAAAATGTTTGCTTATTCAAAAAATGTTTTGGAAATCAAAAAAATTCATGATTTTTTAAAAAGTTTTTGTATTAAAAAAGTTAATGAAACAGAACAAAATTCGCCAATTTAAAAAAATGTTCATGAATGGAAAGAAATCCTAAAAATTCAAAAACATCTCGTGACTTATAAAATAGTTTATCATTCATAAATGTTCGCTGATTCAAAAAATGATCATGCATTTCAAAAAATGTTTGTTAAATCAAAAAAATTGTTAATATTCATGAATTTCAAAATTATTCCCCCAGTTTCCAAAGCAATGTTCATCCATTTTACAAATGTTTGCCGATTCAAGAAAATTGTTAAAAATAATGTTCACAATTTTTTAGAAAGTTTGCAAATAGTATAAATGTTCATGAATTCAAAAAATGTTCTTGATTTTAGAAAATGTTTGAAAATTTGTATAAGTGTTCTTGAATTTGAAAAATGTTCACGGTTTCAAATATGTTCACGAGTTCAAAAAAATGATCATGATTTCACGAAATTGGAAGTGCTAGTGTATATCGGTGATGCAGCAAAATGTGATCATGGCTATTGAAGATTATATTTTTTTTCTACAGTTGCAACGCACGGGCCCTTTTGTTAGTACCATTGAAGCTGATTGATCCTTTTTTTGGTGCTGATGAACAAGCACCGTTTGGCAATCTCTTTATTAGCGCTGATTGATCTCTGCATATACAATTGTAAATTTTAATCCAAAATCTGAACTTCTGGTAGGTCTTTTGGTTTGAAACAAAATGGAAGGCTATGATATTGTCCAAATTATGGTAAATATACTACCATGGCCTTTTTTTAGAGGCACTACCATGGCTACAATCCAAGCAACCATCGCTTGCCAATTGATCATGCCAATATTTTTGGCAGGACTAGATGGGGGCTCAGTCCGACTCCGAACAGGCCGTGGAGAGACTGCAAAGAGGGTTTCCAGTTTGTCCACAGAGTTATACCCACAGCCAGATATCTC